ATATATATATTAATCTCGCCATCCTTATTTCTTGCCTTATTCCTGAGTATACAATTTCCTGCTGTGGATTTTAGACTGGCCACTCTCTGAAGGCAGGGCTGGAGTCTGATTCACATTTGTGTTTCAGTCCTTGGTATTCTGGCATAAAGCTGGAGCTAAAGAATAGAGAGGAAGGAACCACAGTTTGCACCCTCAGAGGAAACATTCCCCAGGGATATAACCCCAGGCCATTCCCACTCTCCATCACTTTCTCTTTAAGTTGAGGAAGAAGAGAGGAACTAACGTTTATTCTGATTTCCAATGTGCCAGGTACTGTGTCAAGTCCGTCTCTCAGAGTGTTCCTCTCAATAATCAGCGGGGAAGAAACTATTATCCCCATTTTACAGATGAGGACCCTGCAGTACAGAAGCGTTGAGAAGATCTAATGGTCTCTCCGCCAGAGAGAGGTAGAGGTGCATTTTGAGGGAGTCTGAGGGAGGGTGCACAAGGCTGTGAGGAAGTTTACTCAACACTAGTTTGAGTAATGCGCAATGCTTTCTTGACTACTCTAGCTCAAAACATCTTCACTGGAACCCAAGAAAGCACACGTGAATGCAATTCCCAATTCAGAGCGGAGGAAAGAGTCACAGAAGTTTGGCAAAAGCGCTTGCGCCTGGCGTCCTCCGCCTGGATTCCGCCCCCGCACCTCCTCCCCGCCCTGAGCTGGCGTGGATGGGAAGGGATTGAGGGTGTCAAGTGGAAAGGAAAGTTGGGCGTAGGCAAGACTTCCTCTTAGGTCAGGATGTGTGGGTGTGTGTGTGAGTCTCCTCCATCGTCCCGCCCCCATCGCGTTAAGATTCTGGGGAACGGGGCACACGCACTCCCGAAGCTCAGGTGATGCGCCTAAAACCCTGAAAACCGCTCCCTTGGCGGAAGCGGAGGTGGCTGCGGAGACGCAGCTGGGCGCGCGGGGTTTCTTTCCCAACCCTGAGCGCGGCCGCAGTCCCTGGATTCCCCATCCATTATTGATGATGTTTACCAGCTCGGGGAAAGGAGAGAAAATAAGAGGGAAGAAGAGGGGAAGAGAGGGCAGGAGACACGGGGTGGGCGGGGAGAGGGAGGGAATCCGGGCAGGATCACCTGGGCCCTCAAGTCTCGAAACTTCTGGAAGACACAGAGGCTAAGTAGTCAAGAGTCCCGGAAATCAATTGTGGGGCCGGGCACACAGTAGGCTGTTGGAAATATTTGGGGGGATGGATAACAGAGTGAGTAAATGGCTCTATTCAACCACGTAGTCTTGGGCCAAAAGCCTTAACCTTCTGACCTTTGATTTCCCCATCTATATAAGGGGATCATTGCCCCATAGGATTGAACTCTAAATGGAACTCTAAATGGCTTAGCACATATTAGTAGCTCAAAAATAGTAGCTGTTGTTAGGGGCAATGGGGTTTGTAAGCAGGGATGGCCCAGCAGAAGTGCATTGACCTTAATTAAGCAGGCCAGGTGTGCTGTTCTGAACTGTCACTATTCTAGAGAACTTTCAGAAAGCTTCCTTCCCTTGGAAGATTGGAGAAAGCAAGAGAGGCAAGCATGTGAGGGAAGCCACAGGCCTCTAGCACAGGAAAAACAGTTACTGCCCGTACCTCCACCCAGGCGGGCTCCTGGGTGGGGGAAGGTCAACAGGGGCTCATTCTGGCAACCTCTCGCCTTTGCCGGACTTGGTCTGGGTTCTGGAGGCGCCTCTTCTCTGAGCAGCGGTGCTGGACTCTGGTGGACTGCTCGGGCGTGGGGCCAGGAGCGCCCTGGAAATGGGCAATTTGGCGGCCGCCCGGCCGACTGTGGTGTGTGTGTGTGTGTGTGTGTGTGTGTGTGTGTGTGTGGTGGGGTATCGGAGTAGGGTCAGCTTCCTGCCCCTGCTCAGCACAAGACTGCCTTCGATCCAGACAGTGCGAGTTGGAACCGGACAGAGAGGTTCGGGACTTTGGGGAGGGGGAGGAAAGTCCAGGACGAAGAAGAAAGAATCCGTAAGGTCTGGCAGGTTGGAGCCAGGCGGGGCGGGGCGGTCGGGGAGAGACCCGGGCAGGCCTGGGTATAAATGCTGTGGAGGGGGCGGCCTCGGCGGGCACTGAGAGGCGCGCCGTGAGCTGCTGTCTCGCCTTGCCTCCCGGGCAGCCCCTGCGACTCCCGGGCGCGTGTGCACGCCTGCGCGCGCCCGGGCCCTTCCTGGCAGGCTGCTTGTAAGATGAGTGAAGAAGCAGGTGGGGGAGAGGGGAGGCAGCAAGCGAGAGGGCGAGGGGAGCGCGGGCGCTGATCGGCGCTCACTTGGAGCGCGGCGAGCAGGCAAGACGAGCCTGATTCCATGTCCCCCGCTGCCTCCCTGCCAGACGCGCGAAGATGATGGCCATGAACGCCAAGCAGCCTTTCGGCATGCACCCGGTGCTGCAAGAACCCAAATTCTCCAGCCTGCACTCCGGCTCCGAGGCCATGCGCCGAGTCTGTCTCCCAGCCCCGCAGGTACGTAGTGGAGCATAATTACCGCTCTAAGGCACAGTTTTTGACAGGCACTAGCTTCATGTTTATTTCATGTCGCCCAGAACAATCGCCGCTGTCTGAACCCCTCTCCTTGTCTCCCCTGCGCTCTCTCTCGGCGCTCTCTCTCATTCATGTCTCTGATCCACACGTCTGTTCCAGCAGAGCTGCTGCCTCCGTATTAATTTTTATGACCTGGGCTTTGAGGAGAGGCATCTCAGTTGCTTGAAAATGTGTTTTAATCCTGAGTTGACAGTATTCCCTACTGACCGTGCTGTGCGCCTTCTCGCTTGCAGCTGCAGGGTAATATATTTGGAAGCTTTGATGAGAGCCTGCTGGCACGCGCCGAAGCTCTGGCGGCAGTGGATATCGTCTCCCACGGCAAGAACCATCCGTTCAAGCCCGACGCCACCTACCATACCATGAGCAGCGTGCCCTGCACGTCCACCTCGTCCACGGTGCCCATCTCCCACCCGGCAGCGCTCACCTCGCACCCGCATCACGCAGTGCACCAGGGCCTCGAAGGTGACCTGCTGGAGCACATCTCGCCCACGCTTAGCGTGAGCGGCTTGGGCGCGCCAGAGCACTCGGTGATGCCGGCTCAGATTCACCCGCACCATCTAGGCGCCATGGGCCACCTGCACCAGGCTATGGGCATGAGTCACCCGCACGCCGTGGCGCCTCACAGCACTATGCCCGCTTGCCTCAGTGACGTGGAGTCAGACCCTCGCGAGCTGGAGGCCTTTGCCGAGCGCTTCAAGCAGCGACGCATCAAGTTGGGGGTAACCCAGGCGGACGTGGGCGCGGCTCTAGCTAATCTCAAGATCCCTGGCGTGGGTTCACTCAGCCAGAGCACCATCTGCAGGTTCGAGTCTCTCACTCTCTCGCACAACAACATGATTGCTCTCAAGCCGGTGCTCCAGGCCTGGCTGGAGGAAGCGGAGGCTGCCTACCGAGAGAAGAACAGCAAGCCGGAGCTCTTCAATGGCAGCGAGCGCAAGCGCAAACGCACGTCGATCGCCGCTCCTGAGAAGCGCTCACTCGAGGCCTATTTTGCCATCCAGCCACGTCCTTCATCCGAGAAGATTGCGGCCATTGCTGAGAAACTGGACCTTAAAAAGAACGTGGTGAGGGTCTGGTTTTGTAACCAGAGACAGAAACAGAAACGAATGAAGTACTCAGCTGTCCACTGACTGCGGCGGGGCAAAGCATCGGGAGTCGGGAGATGGCAGGGACGGTTATAGGAAACGCCAAAGTGTTTCCTAGCAGGTCAGGCTCTCTCCTCCGAAGCCACAGACTTTCCCCTTTATCCCGCCTAGTTGCCTCCCGGCCTTCTCTTTTTCTTTTTTTCTATTCCCACCAAAAAAGTTTTGGCGCTAGGAAAAAATGCAAAAGTGGCCGGCTTGGTGGGACTTGTGCTGTCCGTGGTGCTGAAACCCGCACTCGCACGTTGGACAGCGAGACCTCAGGGCAGGAGCCTCAAAGCAGAGGATAGTGGATTGGTTCCGCCGCCCGACGATGGGGTGAAAGCGCCACTTTGCTAAGAGCAATTAGGCAAGGGGTGAAGGGATGGAAAGGAAGTGATAAATAATAATATAAAGTATAGGATCTAAGTGGAACACAAACGTACTGGAGATTTATTAGAGTATATAAAATACACTTATGTTTCCAAAGGATAGCCTTATACTCCCTTCTCCGCCTAAATTCTATCCATCTTATCCTTGGGTTTGCAGTAAATTCTCAAAAAGTAGCATGGATTAGGTTCAGGGAAAGTGTGTGGAGAGTTGGGGGCTCTGAGCTGTTGGTGGTAAGTAGGGCTCCGGAAAAGTGGGCCCAATCCAGCGACTGAAAATGCTGGGATCCCTTGGCTATTTGTAAGCAGCAGCCACACCAGCTCTGGCCATCCTTCACGACCTGCTGGCGTTTGAGGGGTAACTACTGCCGGTTGGAGGGAGGGATGGGGAGGGAGTGTGTGGGGGGATGTTGAGTTGGTAGTGTTCTGACCAGACTGAATGAGGACTCTCCGACCTCAGCTGCTGCTCTTGCCAGACTGCCGGCTCAGTGCTCCAAAGTGACTGTAACTTCTCCGAATCATATGCAAGTCCTTCCAACACATCTAACCTCTTTGCGCTTTTATTACTGTTGTTGTTGGCATCAGTTGATTCCAATTATTTATTTAACTCCGCTTCTTTCCTTCCTCTTTATGTGAGTGTCTCTCGTTGGAGGTTCACTTATAGTTTTGCGCGGGAAAAGGAGCAGGACCACCGACCTGGACTTTTCCCATCCTAGTCCCTCTGACCCCATCATGTTTTATTTTTTCGTTGATCCTTGTAGTTTGTGTGTTGCGTGTGACCTTTGGTTTCATTCTCTGAATTGATGCAAATAAAATATTAAGTTTTTTCCTCTTTCTCCCCCCTTGAATTTACTTCTAAAATAAATGCTTTATTTTTCAACCCGAATCGCAGTAATTTTCCTTCTCGGATGCTAAGGGTACTGGTCTTGGGAGGATTTAAAAGTGAAAATCCAAAAGGGTTGGACTGTCACTTCCTGCCAGCCAGCCCCCAGCCATCTCTTCTCTGCATTCCTCTCCCCTGCAATCTCTCACTCTTACCGGGATCTCTTCGGGGAGATCTGACTATTTAAAGGCACTTTCTTCTGCACTGCCCATCGATCAGATCAGACTATTCTCTGGATTTAACTTCAGTTCCAAACTTTGCACTCTGACTGGTGGGAGTTCCGGCTCCACTCATTGGCTAAACCATCTTGAGGCTAGTTTCCCAACTTCTCTAAGCCTTCTTCATAAGATTCCTTGTCTACAGAATGAAGGTTTAATACCTGTTCCCCATGGTTATTGTCAGGACTAGGTAAGAGGGTTTACTTAAGACATCTGGCAGGTGATGCTTGGCACTCGGTAAGAAACAAATTATTTTAAAAGATTCAAATGATTGGAAAGAAGATGAGGGGATACAGGCAAAAAGAGAAAAAAAGTGGTCGTTGGGGCAATTTGTTGGGATCCGTTCCGGGTCTCCAAAAATTTATTTGAGATAGTCATCCAAATTATTCTCTCCATGGCTTAATCTCCAAAAGGTCTATCCCTCCCTTTGTGGAGGGACTGAGCAGATATGCTGCAAAGCACCTAGTTTATTGCCCTGCACACAGTAGGTGCTCAAAAGATGTCAGTTCCCTTCTCTTTTTCTACTCCCTCTAAAGGGCGGAGGGAGAAACATTTTTATTTGTGAACCGCAGAAACGCTGTCGTGATTTAAAAATTAATGCTACAGGTCCAGGAGTCGTCTGAACATTTCCCCTTAAAGAGTTCTGGGTCATTAGACCTCCGCCCGAAATTAGGAGTAGAATAGTTTCCGTTCTGGGCAGTGTGGCGCCCCCCATCCCACCCCCACTCCACGGGGAAAGCAAACTGTGGATAGCCCCTGCTTTCCGGGCCTCAGCCCCTCGCCTCCGCCTTAAGCAACAGCCCAAGCGATTTCTCCACCTCCCTTTCCATCGGGCGTCCTTTAATAATAAATGCCCTTATGCCATTACATTATATTGTGGGTTTTGAAAATTTAAAATACGGCTGATGCAATATTAATTGCCTATAGTGGTATAAAACACAGGGCCGGAGCACAGCCGGGCTGCAGAGGAGGCGGCCATGAGCATCCCGTGCCGAAGCGAAGCGCTCCAGAAGGATGCGCCTTTGCTAGGTTTCCTGCAGGTAAGAGCCTTCGGATTTTCGGGCTTAGGAAAAAACCCAATATCTAGCTCCATTCTTCTTTTTGGAAAAGTTCCTTGGTGTTGTCTCAATTTTTAAAATCAGCAACCTCAAAACTTTGGGAGACTTTTTTGGAGAGGTGGAGAGAGGAGTCGCCTGACTGCAACGCACTTGGTAACAAGTCTGAACTGCTCCTTTGCGCCTCATCCCTTTCAGGCGCCGGGGACCTCTGGCGCGCAGAGTATTTTGACCAGTTTATACTTCCAGGCCCCAGCTGCCGCCCTGTCCGCGAAGCGCTCCACCCTCTCCCTCCCTCTCAGTGCGCCGGGTCGGCGCCGCTGCCTCTTTCCTTGGGCTCGCTCAGGAAGCCAGGGGAGCTGTGGTTTCCCCCAGGATTGTTTAGTCGCCTCTGCCACTCGTCTGGCGGAGGCACAGACCTCTCTCTTGGGGGAGGGGTACCAGCAGGTTTGGGGTTCATACAGACCTAGTTTGTATCCATGGTCCAGTTTCTAACCATGTAACCTTGGGCAGCTCACATCACCTAAGCCTCTGCTGACGACTGTAAAAAACAAATTTTTTTTGAGTAATTGAGGATTATTTAAGAGCACCTGGAGAAGTTTTTCCTTTCTCAAATGCCACCAACTTGCAATAGTGACTATCCAAGTGGATAGTGACTATCCAAGACTTAACTGGGTGTTTCTTTAACCAGTATAGAGAACAAAATATTCTGAAGCTGCCTTGGGCCTCTACTGGTAGGCCTTTGAGAGTCCTCTGGGAACTCGGTGGAAGGTTTCTAGGCACCTTCCTGGCTTGAACTGGGCTTGATCTGGAATGAGCCAGCAGGGCTCAAGTCCTGGCAGGCAGAACTTAGAGGCTGGTGTCCTGGCTCTTGAACTGTGTGATCTCTGACTAGTGGCTTCCTCTCTCTGTGTCTGAGGTAGTGCCAGTTTTGTTCCATATTTCATGCCCAGCTCAGAGTCTGACCCAGAGTAGCAGGCAATAGATAAGTATTGAATGAATGAAGTTTGGGTTTTGTAAAATGAAAGCACCCTTTCCAGCCCAATGGTCTTGAAATTCTAGGCACTATAGAGAAGGACAGAGACCATAGGACATGGCAGCCTCCCTGAGAGTCAGGTTCAGGGTCAAAATGGTCAAAAGTTTTCATCCAAAGGCAGCCAGTTTACTTTCTGCTTATATAGAAGAGGGTGTGCCTCACTCTGGTGAGCATCAGGGTGCTTCTGTGACATGGATCCAAGAAACTAGAAAAAAGTTTCCAAGAAACTAGAAAAGGTCAAGGAGGAGGACCAGAGAGTGCCCTGTCCTGTTTGTCTGGCCCACTCTTGGCCCTGCCTTTTTGCTTGGGCTCTTTTAATTTTTGCTGAGATGGAAATAGCTCTGGTTCTGGAGTGGGCAGATTCAAGGCAGAATAAGTACACCATCTCTTATTTAAGTGACCTTATTACTCTAACCCTTAGTGCTCTCATCTGTAAAATTGGAGAAAAAAAGACTATCTCAGGATTGCTCTGATGATTAAATGAGATCATGTAAGGTCAAGGCTTGACCCATGATAGGCGCTAATGGGTAACTAACTGCTTTGAAACATTCTTCATATTCAGAAAAGTGAGAGATAGTGTTGAGGGCAAGTTCAGGCCTTGAAGTCAGACGGATTCAACGTTTCTGCACTGTGAGCCACATCTGGTCAAAGGAGGGTAGTGTCCCCTATCAGCTCTCTGAGTGGTTTTCAGGGGCAAGAAATGTAAAGTGCAAAAGAAACTATTTTTCACACAGTCCAATGGGTTCCTGTTACAGAGGAGACTATGAATGCGCTAAGGAGCCTTTGGTGAGAATATGCAAAATTCCCATTGAGAAGTTTGGACCCAATTGGTGGCTCCTTGAACCTCGGACTTTTCCAGCAACCAACACTGACCCCGACTTCTATCCTTCCAAAGAAGAAAGGCTCCCGTGGGTAAAAGAGGAGCAGGATTGGTGTCTTGGACTCTTCCCTTCTCCCTGTGCCCACCGTTTGGCTCTGGCGCCTGTTCCGGAATGCCTGGGCAGTAGAACATTTTCACCTTCCTCCTTTCACTGAAAGAGAGGCTGAGGCCCATAGAGGGAAAGGGATTTAGTTGACCCCTTCTACCTAAAGTAGTCTCATTTTCTTTCTTTCTTAGTCCTTACTCCCTGAAAGCACCTTGTTTACGTTAGCAGTAAATGCGCTCTGGGTGAGCAGGTCGCCCGGTTCACCCCTCCCTCCGTGAACCCAACGCAACGCAGGACCTCACACAGAGTAAGCGCCCCATAAACGTTTGTTGGATAGTCGAATAATGATTATCTAAAATGTATGGAGGCTTTCCCCTATACCAGGTACTGTTCCAAGCGCTTTATCTGCAATTTTTTTTAAATCCCTACGATTAGGTATATTTAAATCCCATTTTACAGATAAGAACACGGAGGCACAGAGGGTTCCTGTAACTGTGCCCAGGACACGTCGTGAATGCAGCAATTTGGTGGAGAAATCTGAAAAACTTTGGTTTCTCCGCCTCTTCTGTCCCCAAGTGAGACCCAGAAGAGGCGGTGAGAGCCAAGCAGGCCCGCTGTCTTCGCCAGGTTTGGGTGTCCTCGGCTCTTTTTCGTCCCGCGCCACTTGTAGGTGCGTCTGTTCACCTGTGTCCCACTCAACCCCCTCCTAGATTTTCTGCAACCTCACAGATCTGAAACTTTGGCCTTACAGTGCAGGAGCGACCAGGGCGCGGGGAATGTCCCCTTCCGCCTCTCCGCTTTTCTGCGGAGCGGCGGGAGCCCCGCGGTAACTGCGCTCCGGCGGGCGGGACGGAGCCGGCGAGGACCCCGGCGGACGAATTAGTCTCCCCTTCGATCGCTGTTTTCCGATCAGGTCAGGTTTCCCTCCGCCCCGCGACGGCGCTTCCGCGGCAGCTCCATTTCCCGGGGCTCCCCGTGGGGTCGGGGCTCTCCGACTCCTCCCGGCGCCTCAGGAGGGAACTTCCCTTCGGCCGCGTCCAGGCCGGGGAGCCCCCCCTGGTCCGCGGCAGGAGCCGTTGTGGGAAGACACCCGGGCGGCGAGACCCTCTTCCTCCCAGAGAGCCCCCCAGCGCTGCTTCCCGACGCAGCACGTGGAGAACTGCGCTTCACAAATCCCCACTACTCCGCCCCCTCCCCCAGTTCAGCCCCGCCCAGCGCTGCCCCGACTTGTGGGGACAAACTGGGACAGAAACACCTCCCCTCTCTCTCACCATGTATATCTTTTAATATTTAAAAAGATTTTGATTTTTAGGATTTCTCACACAAATCCCAAGTGTTCATCCTGGAAAAATTTAGATATTTTTATTGGATTTTTTATACATATTTAGTGTTTAATGTCTTTACTTTGAATTACACAGAGAGGGTGCGCCACCATAACTTCACCCTTTGGCAGAATCCCTCCCCCAATCCCATCTTCTCCCTTTTCTCCGCTTTCCTTTCCTCTCTCTCCAGGACACTCGTCGGCCCTGCTCCAAATCCCAACTTCTCTGCCTGAGACAGACCCCCGCCCCCGCCCCCGTGCCTGAGGCTTTGCTAGGCAGCTCACCTCTTGGCAGATACAGTTAATGTCCAGCCTTCATAAATCAAGACCATAAAAAGCTTACTTTCATATGCACTCAATTTCTACCAAACCTAAACTAATTGCATAAA